ATCTTTTCATGAAAATCCTTTCAATTATCAACAATTTCATTTAAGAGAGCTTTGAATTATTCGGGATGGAAGAGCAATTATTTCATTAGATACAATTTTTCATTGTCGTCTCTATGTTACAACAATGAAAGCAATGCAGTTTAACGAAGATTTTCCAGCTCTTCCTATGGAAGATTTTCAAAATCACTATAATCTAGTTTTCGATTTGACTTCACTACAGGATGCAGCTGAACAGTTGCATTATCCAGAACTTAGTGGAGAAAGCTTGAGATTAGAAATGTTTTTCCAATTTCCCTTGGAGCAAGTAACGGAAGTGATAGTTTTGGGAGAAAGACTATCAAATATTCAAATTGACAAAGTCGGAACAGTCGCTAAAAGTGTTTAATTTTTTTGAGTTTTCAGGTTCCTATAAAAAGATTGTAACTTTTTTGGGAGTTTTTTTTGTTATATCTCTGTACTATCTATTTTGTTTTTCTTCAGACCTAAAGCTCCCGAAAAAATAGAGAAGGAATGCTGTTTAGTTGAAAACACGAGACATTTCTTCAACCTTGACTGTAAAACTGTGTTCAATAAACTTTGCCCGCTATATAAGGCTTGTGTATGGGACTTTGTTGATTCAATTCCTAAATGTGTGTAAGTCATTAATCTTTCTTTTTTTTCCAAACCTAAAGTACACTATCAAACTATCAATTTCATTTTTAGCTGTAAATCAGCCTACAATTGCAAAGATGGATAATTTTTCACTTTTGCAAACTATTGAAAGCATTCCAGAGCTCAGGTTCAAGTACATGGGATCATACCTTCTGATACAGTACCTCAACTAACAAAATACACTTTCGCAATTATTAACTCAGCCCAAAGCAATGATAGAGGAGAACACTGGATTAGGATTGCTCGACTGGATAAAAGCTACTACTTCGCAGATTCTTTGGGAAGAAAGAGATCAACTTACCCCTTTTTGACGAAAAAGTTTCGACGAATGGTTCCTCGAAAGCTACAAAAGACTGATACTTTGTGTAGTTTTCACGCAATTTATTCAGCATTTCTCCTTTTTTTTATTCTTCCAGAATAATTTGAACAAATTTCATGATGTGTATGTTTGAATTTTATTAGTAATTTTATGTAAAATGCATTTTTATTTGTAAGTGTAAATTTTTGCAGTAATTTTACTATACGATGTAGCGAATTAATTGATTATTTATGTAACTTAACCTTTTAAATTCCTTAAATTTTTTTAGAAAAAGCATCTTAGAAACTAACCTTTTGATGAAATACGGAGAATGATGATGGAATATGGATGTTGTAGTCCCCCAATTGAAAGAATTAACGATAGAGTAGATAAATTTACGAAAATTGTAACCAAATTCTAGTAAATTGTATAATTTTCTTAAAAGTTTACTCTGAGAAAGATGAAAAAAAGATTACACAAAAATATCACAACCAAAAAAGTACGATACTATATTTTGCTCAGTGTAAACATTTACCGTGGTAGAGCAGTTGATAAATTTGGATGATAATTTTTTAGAAAATTTGGAAATTTCAATAAATTTTTAAAAGATTAAAAACAAAGTGATTAACGAAAACTGAAATGAATCATAGCAAGAAATATGATTGAATAAATGAACCAATTGAGGTACAAATAAGTGAGATAGTTATGGAAAAAAGATAAAATATGTCATAAAATTATTAAGTGTGATGAACCTGTCATCCGTTCTCCAGATAATCTGGGGAAAAAGATTAAGTGGGATATAAAAGTATTCCACCGTGAGGAGATGTCAAGATTCCCTTGATATCCCGTGGAGCGGAATAACAAACTTGTCAAAGATAATCCCCTCTAGACAATTTTCCCCAGATGACCAGAGGGAAAATAAATAACATGAAATAAGAATTTAAAAGATTATTTCGAGAAAAAAAAACATTCTGCGATATATTAGTTTATGATCCCAGACTCTAAATCGAAACTCAATTTTTGTCGAAACTTACCATCTGAAACTTATCATCCAATTTTTTTAACGATTTTTTAATATAAAATTGTTTTTTCAAGATAAAAATGTATTTGCAAGTAAAATTTGAAAAAATTTCAAAAAATTTTCTGAAACTTACCTTCTAAAACATACCATACCGAATTTTTGTAATACAAGATAGCCCTTAGATATCACAAATCTTTGAAGTTGACTAAGAAACGCAAGTATTGGCAAAATCGAGCTCAAAAAATTCGGGCGCCAAAATTTTTTCTGAAACTTACCATGTTATCATCTGAAACCTGCTATCTTAAAACATTGGGAAACCTATTCCCTATCTTAATACATAAGAAATCTTTCCCTATCTTAATACATAGCTCGGAGACCGGATACTCTATTCCCTATCTTAATACATGGGGGTCTCAGCCACCCCCCCCCCCCCCCCACTCTCCCTCACTATTCTACTACTCTCATAGAAAAATTGCGTTGAAGATATATTATAATAAGCAAGCAGATCGTTTCATTCTTTTTTGGTATAAAACCTTGGTTAGAATATACTGTGCATTTTTCATAGTTACCGAAACTGGCTATTATTTTCTATTGATTGTTGTTGATACTTTTTTATAATAATTTTCACATAAAGTATAACAAGATCTATTTAGATAAACTATGATTTTTAGGCTGATAATATCAAGTTTTGAATTGTTTAAAATTGTTTCGTATAAGTAAATTATACAATCAATTAGCTTGCCGCAAACCTATTTGGAACGATTGTGGAGTGTCGTATTTTTTGACACGCATACAAAATAAGCAACAGCAATTCAGCTTGTAAGATTTAAACTAGCAGTTAAGTTAGACTCGTTTCAGAGCGACCACAGTGTCAGATTAGTTAAGTGGTGTTCGCGCAGGCGGGGTTCACAAAGATCCAGGAATTGATCCGCCAAATGGTGTTTATTTTCGAAATTGGTCTGAATAAAAGAAAACCCAAACCTTATATTTTCATTGCTTTCTTGGAAAGTCGGAATGAAAATAAAAAACATCTGATGATTCAACGCGCATAGTTCGAACTGATTATCTATCATATATAGTTGAATATATTGAAGATGATTGAAAAG